TGCAGAACACCTGTCCGGGGGATCCATGCCCTCCTGGATACAGATGCTTGGCGACTGGTGCTGGGTTTGGGCTATGTCTGCGCGACAACAACTGAAATCCAACCTAAACGTGGCGTGCTGATGGCGATTGGAATGCAGATCGATGGGGGGACCGTTACCCTCCAACCCGGGATGCGTCCGGGTGCAACCGACCATGCGCTGCGTGATGCCGACATTCCTGGCGGGGCGCCCCCACGACCCGCCCGTGGCTGATGCTGCCTCTCTTTTTGTAATGTTTAACCATGTCGTCGTTGTGACATGTTACTCTGCACACCCTACTCTTTCTTTGTTTTTTTCAGCATTGCTTCCAATATGCCTTGCCAAGCTTGCCTCAGTTCGGCCCTTTTTGCTCACACGTGTATCCTGCCGCGCTCTTTTGCTTATGATCTAGAAAAGCCACCATGACCAAACTCACTCCTTGTCCTTGCTTGCTGACACCTTTGACGAACTGTAATGAAATGTGTCACATGAAAGGGTAGGCTGATGGCCATGCGGTGTACCGCAGCGTGCCACATTAACATGTCTGCCCTGGCCCCTCGACGCAAGGCACAACGACATCTAAAAGGGCAGCTCGTTTGCACCGCTGCCAAGCGCGAGTCAGGTGCAGCCAAGCGCGAGTCATGCATGCCGCTGGCGCCATGTCACCGCCGGCGGGCATGTAGCCATGGGATGGTCTCCAAATCACCTCACTACTTAGACGATGCAGTCGTTGCGGGGATTATTACGGCAGCGCATTCAAATCCTTGCCAGTGTTGGCAAGCACGCTGGCGCATCTGGCATGCTTGCGGGCTGCCGCGCATCCCCGGGCCGTGTGCCGCTGCGTAGCTGCCCGCGGTCGCCCTCCAGGCGGCATGTACAGGCGGGGCCCGCCTCCACCGCCGCCGCTCCCGCTCCCGACAGTGAGGCAACGCCGCCACACCGTGCTCCAGGGCCCCACCGGGCCGGCAAGCGGAAGGTGGCGCTGTTTGTGGGCTACTCAGGCACCGGCAGGCGAGGTGGGGACAGCCATCCTGGTGCTGGGTTCCGCCGCTGGCCACCCTCCGACCCCGCCCCGTGCCTTGGTCGGGTTCCTCAGGACGGCCCGCCCGCGCCTCTCCGCCTGCTGATGCAGGGCTGCAGATGCAGCGCAGCAGCGCCCCAGAGGAGACGATAGAGGATGTGCTGGAGGAGGCCATCTTCCAGGCGGGCGGCATCCTGCCCTCCAACCGGGGCAACCTGGGCAAGGTGGGCGGCACAGGCGGCAGTTGTGGGGCGGGCCTAGTAGCAGCAGTGACAACGTGCAATGCTTTTGTGATCCCGCGAGCTGCCCTGACCTTTTAGCGCATTGCTCTGCTTCAACTCTCCTAGCTGCCCGCTCAGGCGCCCCTGCCGCGTTTCTGCACCGACGCAGCCTCCCCGCTCCTTCTAGCCCGTCCCTCTTTGAGCATGCCCCCTGCTGGGTCTTCCACCGCAGGTGTCGTGGTCTCGCA